TTTTGTGTCGTCGGTTGCCCTACGGTGCCTTAAAAACGAGCTCGTTGCGCCAAATGGCACGCAAACATCAAAGGGAAATTCGCACGCGAAGTAAGTGTACATGTACATCACCGCCGTCATGTTTTTCCAAAGGCTTTAAGGCGATGCGTAACAGTATACCTACTAGATCTTCATTGGGCTAAGGTATCATCACTTTTCATATATGCGTTGTTCTGAAAACGAGTGTACGTTTTCCGACTGGTGGGGATGCGTTCGCATTGCAGCGGGTGTGCATATAGCTCATACGTCATTCAGTTGAAAAAATATATCCTGAATATATATATATATATATATATATATATATATATATATATATATCCGCATAGGCTGGGAAAATGTGACAGTACACTTATGTTATTGGATGGAGCGAAGCAAATCAAACTGTTTGAGCCATGCTATTTAAGGCATCATTTCTTCTGATGCCAGATAAGCTCACTTGTAGATGCCGTGATATGTTGGACGGCCCTCCAAACAGGGCATAGGCGTGGGGGGGGGGGGGATTGGAGGTAGGGGCCATAATGACCAAGCTGTTATCACCTTGGATTCTTTCTTGAGGGACCGGAGCTCGAATCGCGGTTGCGTCACGACCCCGGAGCGCTAATATGACTAATGAAGTATCTGACACCATAAAAGGGGCGTGACGACGTGCGTCGTGTGACCTTAAAAACGTGTACATTGGATAGGCGACTGCTAGTTTTTAAAGAGATTCGCGCCGAAGACAGTTCAAGGGCGCTTTAGGACGGGTGCTTTTCTTGATCTGCATAAAGTAAAACAACAAGCAAACAAGAAATGGAGTTTCAAATGCCAAGAAGCCAGGTCTCGTACGAGAGAAACCAAGTGACCCACAAGCGAGCAAGGGATAGGTTTTGGCTGTTCAACCAAATGCTACGGCGCCAACGCTCATCCAGTGCATTGTCAGCATTTTACGTTCTTCCAGGACGTAGCTGGTATCCCGGCAAGAAGTGTGATATCTGCCACCAGGCCTTCTTTGCGCCATCTTCGTACAGAAACCACAGGGCTCTGCATCGCGGGGAAACCACCTGTCCTATCTGCCAGCGAGTCTTCAGTGAAAAGGGCAGTATGAAGATCCACATGAAGGCAGTGCATCACGTCCCTGGACGAGCGTCGCACGGCACAAACTAGGGGTTCGCGGCGATGGCGATGCCTCCGTTCTTCTCCATCCTAGGCGCTATATGGATGCCTCCGTTCTTCTCGGTGTGTTTGGTGCTGCGCAGATCAATACGTAGTCCAGCGGCAAAAATTCGGTGCTGTTCCTCGCTTGTCGTTCAGTTATTTAAAAAAAGAAGCTGCGTGTTCTCTGAAGTTTAGTTTCACTGCTCTGAGCAAAAAAGTCGCGAAACGCTTGTGAAATGCACACATTCTTTTTTGGTGCCTTTCAGTTGGTCCTGTTCGCATGCATGACCTTCCGGAGGGTACCTGTTTGAAGTTATGCCTGTTTACCTGTTTAAGGGTACCTGTTTAAGTTACCTGAGGGTACCTGTTTAAGTTATAGTTATGTCGCCGGTCTATTTGTCTTTTCTCTGGATGGAAAATAAATGAAAACTGTTACTCTCGGAATGCGAGTAAATATAAAGAGTTCACCGCCTGGTGAGCAGTAATGCTATTATGAGTTAGAACTGCAACTCTCGAAGTGAGAGTAAATGTGAAAAGTCCACTATCTGGTGGGCAGTAATGCCATCATTAATTTAAAATGTTACTCTGGAAGTGAGAGTAAATATGAAAATCACACCACTTGGTGAACAGTAATGTCATGGTAACTTAAAACTGCTTCTCTCGGTGTAAGAGTAAATATGAAAAATGCACCGCCCGCAGGGCAGTAATACCATAGACTATGTCTTGATCCTCGCTTCAAGGGCTTACTCCTCAAAAAAGTGGGTCTGCGTTGATTTTGCCAATTGCCTGCTTAGAGCTGCCTATGAAGCTGATGGCGGGATGTTAGATTCACGTTTTTATGCTTATTTGCCCTTATTTGGGATGTGAGACAGACCTAAAAAGAGCTCAAATCAGCCCAAATGAGCTCTTATACTGAAGTCAAGTCAACTCAGCTTAAAAAGGCTTAAATAAGCGCAAAAGAGCTAAAATCAGTCCAAGTTTGAGGTAATCATTGCCGGCATCGAATCGGTAGTGTGAGGCTGGCGGTGGTCATGGCGTGGGCCCGTGTTACGGTATGCTGGCGAAAGGAGGCAAATGTCGTTTGAATCCCCGTTCCATCCAATGAGCACATGAGCACAACGCAGTCCATGCCCGCTCACCGAGTCGTGGATATAGCTCCACTTTGCCTTATATGTCGACTTTGTAATGCTGTTGCTTTCGGGTGCCGTGTGTGGTGTTCCCACCCACCTGGCCAATAACACTATTACTATGATGTAGTACATACAAAGTCGCGCTACCTTCTTTTGATTCATGCAAAACTTGCTTGCACCGGTCGTCGCCCTTTCCGCGGTAAGGCTTCTTCAAACCTTTATCTCTGACACAGGAACCCTCAATGGGAGGGTCATGGTACCGTCATATGGCAGCACGTATGGTGGTGCCCAAAAATATGGCAGCGTCCCGGCGGCAACATTTTGTGACAAGCGTACAAAACATTGGAAAACGGCAATGTCTCTGTTGTTTTCTGCTATTGGGACCGAAAAATGTGTTTTACAACTTTACCTCATGGTAGGAAAACAGAATTTGGCAACATTTGGGCAGATTGAATCCTGTCAAGCCAATGCCATTGGCGGCAAAATTATCGCTGTCAGCACAATATGTGATTCTATCAGAATCGACTCCCAAGAATTGTTCACATCAATGCTTACACTACGGGCACAGCTGCATTGTACTCTGCCTTCGAAAATATCGTTGGCAACTTAATCGTTTCCTCCTGCACACAAGTTATGAATATTGTTACGATAGTTTGACCTGACATAGCAGTTGGATGATAGGCTTTGAGTGGCACCTCAATTCCTCCGGCTTATGCCGGGTGCGTCTGTGACCGCGGGTTTGAAATGGCTGTTGAAACTGCTGGGGTACATGGTTAGCGTGAATTTTCGTTTTGGTTCATATAAATAAAATCCTTGCTACGCAACGTTAGAGCTAGTCGCTAACGAGGGTGGTCAGCGCACATGCTCCAACGACTTTGGCTTTGGCCGTCGTTCTAAGTACTACGTCGGCAGCATTACCTACCACCTTGAGCATGTTGTGATCTTCCAGGCCGTGGCTGGTATCCCGGCAAGAAATGTGGCATCTGCTACAAGGCTTTCTTTGCCCCATCGTCGTACAGAAACCACAGGGCCCTACATCGCGGGGAAACCACCTGTCCCATCTGCAAGCGAGTCTTCAGCGAAAAGAGTCATCTAAAGCATCATTTAAAGTATGTGCATCACTCTCTATAGCCAGCGATGCATAGATCCAGTGCAATGTGTGGCGCCTATCTCACTTGCGCAGTGTGTAATGTAAGGCGTATGCCAACAGACAGTGCGGTGGTAAAAGTTCTGCGCTTACCATTGTGTGACCGTTGTTATACAGGGTTTGAGCTTTGACACTTGCGTCAATAAATAAGGAACCAACTTGCGCGTTTGGAATTCGATAAGTTTGGAAGCCGGCAGACTATGAGTGGTTGTTGGGCACAGTGAATGACCCCGTACGCCTGTGAAGCTTTCACCACAGCACCACACCCACCACGTCTAGCGTGCAGCGTGTGATATACAACACCGCACCATCACGTCTAGCGTGCAGCGTGTGATATACATCACCGCACCATCACGTCTAGCGTGCAGCGTATGACATACATCACCGCACCACCACCTCTAGCGTGCAGCGCGTGATATTCATCACCGCACCCATCTCGTCTAGCGTGCGGCGCGTGATAAACATCATCGCACCATCACGTCTAGCGTGCAGTGTGTGATATTCGAGAGCCGGTCTCACACAGCAACATTTTGCGCCTTCTGGTTGAAATGACGTCATGACTGAAACAGTTGAGAACGTTTACCTCCCGCACCTGTTGCATGCTCACGCGTGCTTCTTTGGGAGTTGGGAGAGAGAGAGGAGTCTTGTTTAGGAGTCTTGATTAATGGGCTTGATCAAAGTTCACGTCATCCTGGATGGAGTCGTACATTGATATCACAGCTTGACTTCTGGTAGCACAGCAGACATCATAATAGTACTTTAGAACAGTTCTCCAGACCTGTGCTGTCCAAGGTCACGTCAAAGTGATATATCAGGGAGCCGCAAGTGGTGTTTTAAGTTTACAGTCTGTTTCATGCGTTCATGCACAGCGATCTCGGACTGATCTCACAATCTTCCGCTCATCCCAAGCCCAGAAATGTTGCGTGAAAGGCAGTGACATTTCGTAACGGAGGATAGATTCGAAGAAAGAAATGTGGCACGACCCGTCTGTTGAAATTGATCCGTGCAGCATGTTGTCTCATCGAGTCCGAATCTGGTATGGATTCATGTTCTTAGCGTTAAAGCTAATGAGTTTATTTGACCGAAAATTCATTACTGCGTTATATTGGATGTACAGAATGTACAGTACAGATGTTCCAGCCTTTTGTCGTTATCATACGTTATCGGTCTTTTCAGTGTGAGGTTTCTCCTAATGACGTAATACAACTGACCACTGCAGCCGGCGCGCCCGAAACCCCAACTAGGCAACATCGACAAAAGTAACAATTTTGCCAAGTTTCTGAGGCGTTAACACGACCCAGTAGTGGATTGTAAGTGTTCCCTCCAGCCGGAGGTGCTTTCGTTATGACAGCGCTTTAATTGGTGGCGTGACGGCGAAACACGGCAGACAAGCGGCAAATTTTTCATGGCGTCTGTCATTTGACGTCATTCGACACTAACACGCAGTTTTTGCCGCAAAAATTTTCAGTTATCATACCTTATATTATGTTATACCACATTCCCTGGAGCGCTATTCTTACATTCGTAATGCCTGTTTCACTGTTTCGCAGGCGTTGGTGGCTGGTTCCCGGGCAAGCAGTGCCCGAAGTGCGACCGTCGGTTCAATGCCTACTCGTCGTACAGGAATCACCTGCCCCTGCACCGAGGGGAGACCACCTGTCCCATCTGCCATTACGTCTTCACGGAGAAGGGCAATCTGAAGGCGCACATGCGGCGCGTGCACGGTGTTGATGTCACCGCTAGATGAGGATGGAGGGCCGCGCTCTGGCAGCGGGCGTGACCTGGCACGTGTCTGGGCTCTCTCGAGACCGGATGCGCGTGGCAGTCGTCTGGTGTAGCTTACAAACCCGCGTACGAGGGTGATGTGCTTCGTATTGTGATGCGGGCTCAAGGTACGGTCCGCGCGTTGGACTTGTTCCACGTCACGGACTTGTCAGGTTCAGGCTTTTCTGGCTGCTCATCTGTACATTTTGCCGTGTCGGATATGCGTCGATTGACGATTTTGGTGAGGTCGATGTGCAGTCCAGTGCAAATACACGTACCGTTACGGACCTGATCTGTGAAGATGCCGGCCATGCATATCTGACGCCGTCGGTGGCGACTGAGGACCTCACCATACAAGCGGAATCGCTGGATTACAGACATGTGTCAGACTCGAGCAGAGTCGTGAATTGACTCACGAACCAACCGTTTTGGCGTGAGCCGCGAGCTGAGTCGGCTCGTTAGGAAGAATGCCGCTTTGAGCCGTGGCTGAATCGTGAGCTGATCATTTCTAACGATGTTGTGTCAGTAAGACACGTGAGACACAAGGACAGAATCAAAATGGAACTTAAGGAAACACAGCACGCCCTGGACAAATTAGCAGACCATTTCAATACGTTGAAGTGAACAGCAGGCTGAATTAGTCAAACAGCTTTTTGCTTAATCAGTACAAAGTGTATTATTGTAATTTCTAAATAGCAAGCACAATATTGTTGATTCTGATCTAAAATTTGGCAAATATCAGCCAGAAACCAGGGGATAGTACCTGGTGCAGACATCCTACATCCCTATATCCTGTGCTCAAATCAGTTAAAGATTGTCTGTCGCCTACAAAAGTCAACTTTAATCCAATGTTTTTCATTGCTATTTGTCAAAATAGTGAACTTATCTGCAACTGACCCCTCATCACCACTTTAAGTGCTGTAAGTATGTCATTGCGGGGACTACATGAAATGAACAGTATGTATACATTGCATGCTATGCAATTAATGGGTCTGGCTTAACCCGATCTCCATATTTGTGAGCCGGTCCTGATCCCGCTCAAACATTTGAGTCTCATGTCGATTTTTCTACTCTGACAAACGTGCAATGAAACGGCCTGGATGAGCTCAAACGTGGTCAAATAATTATCGACATAATGATCATATGATGTACTAAAAAGGCTTGCACATTTAGCGACAAATTGTTCCGTTGCGGTTGTGAAAAGTGGAAACAATTTGGGACGTACTTGATACTACCCTAAGTCTCATGCAATCCTGCGTTTCTTCATAATTATTTGCAATGCAGCTCCACGATGTTACTCCACGGACACTAGATAAGCAGCACTTCTTCTAACCTGTTTCCAACACAGGTATTGGTCAGATTTGTCATGAGTTGGACGAGACATGCTGAGCAAAACACCGCTTTTGACATCACATAACACGCCTTTGTGCGACAAGCACCCAAAATAGATGTCTACAATGCTCACAAATATCAGACAATGCCAAATTGAAATTACGTGGGTTGTTCAGTGCATAGGCGAGGAACATTATTCACAAAGATGAGACAGCAGGAATCGCCTCATTCCTCGGAGAAGAACCGGGACTAAAAACCAATTCACTTCTGCTATTGTTTCGATAAAGGCATATTGCCGAAATATCAACCCAACTCTACCTCCATTCTCCCGGTTTTTCTCCGAGGAATAAGGCTATTGCTACTGTCTTGGCGAGGAATTAAAGTAAGTTGAAGACGATCTACGTTCGACACACGCATCACATATTTGCAGGCCAATCGTGTGGCAGCCACGTGCTCCGTGGTGCGTTTCAATCGCAATGCCCGTATATGTGCCGTTGGAAACCATTGATATCTATGGGAATCATTGAAATGGAAATGATTGAATCATTGACATGTATTTATAAACAAACTGTAGCGTTAATCTGAGAAAAGCATTGCTATTTTTGATGAGGTCGGATTTAACAGTGTGTGGCATTCTATCTAACAAAATGGCCGCGTGTCACTTACACGTGTGGCACCTGCATGTTTCAAAATGAAAACATGCACTCGGCTAATCTAGTGATGTTTTAAAACATTCGAAATTGATGCACATTTACAACTTTTGGTAATATGATCTGTAACGGGAGTGTGACCTTGAAACGTGTGGAAACTTAAATTTTTGGTTGATCTTCTTTCTTGATGCAAGTGGAGATGATTTTCACATTCCGAATTTTGCTGAATCGAAGCGGATATAATCTCCCATATAGAAGACTTTAATATAGTTGCTAAGCGTTTGGAGCATCGAATGAAAGGACTTTTAACAGCTAAAATATGCGCATGACGAACTGCAGAGGTGTGATTTTGAGAAATCTGTGTCACGCCATTTCCCTCAAGTAACAGGTTTTGCACCATACAGCATCACAATGTTACACAACTTAAAACGCTCCTGGACACGTCTCAAAAACAAGTTTTTGGACGGAAGATCAGTATAATTCTTTTAAACACCATATATGTCGCACGAGCGCTAGCACGTTGATCATGGTACGTTTATTTTGATGAAGTTGAACAGTAAGCTGAGTTAGTAGTTGGTTGTCTCACCAGTAGTTAGTTTAATAGTAGTAAGTACCCTGCGTGATGATATACTTGGTTTGAGTATAACCTTTGCGGTTCTGTTTGCTCAACTGTGTCGTGTGGCTTATCATTTGCCATAAAACATTCTCCCAAAGTGATTACGAAGTTGTGCGGTAATGGAGAGCCAGCCTCTAGCCAGGAGGTAGGAAACAATGCAGGTACATGCTACAACGACCTGAATTTTGATTGCCTTATCGCAAGTGGCTGCGGCTGTGCTCCGCTATTGTCAGCATGCTGTGATCTTCCAGGCCGTGGCTGGTATCCCGGCAAGAAATGTGACATCTGCCACCAGGCTTTCTTTGCCCCATCGTCGTACAGAAACCACAGGGCCCTGCATCGCGGGGAAACCACCTGTCCCATCTGCAAGCGAGTCTTCAGCGAGAAAGGGCTACTGAAATACGACATGACGCACGTGCACCGCGCTCCTGCGAAGCCTGGCACGCGGTAGCGTTTGGTGGGCGCCTCCAATGGCCGACAGTAGAAAAGAGCACAGGAGGTCGCTCGGAAAAGGCAATCCTCTGTCATGCGCTGTGTGCTGCCTGCACAAACGTCGCCGGGGGTCAAAGAAGCTTTCGTTGCGGCCGACGCCGTGCTGTGTCATGCTGCTCGTGATGGTACCCATCCAGATTAGTGGATATGCGTACGCCGGTCGTGGTGAGTGAACAACTGGAGACCACCGAATACCGAGAAAGCACGCGGTTAGGAAGTTGGTTGCTCCCAGGTAAGGGATATTGAGTTTTAGATGCCCCACTCTCGACATGACGTGGAAAGAGCGTTGACGAGTTTGGGACTTGGGCCACAAGTACACCTCACTCGGCGAGGTTTTGTAGAAATGAAGAGAGCGGAAAGATCAAGTATAACATGAGTAATTAATCCATCCACATGTATAGATAAGCTTACACCCCGATGGATAGTTTTGGTTGCAATGTCTTACGTTGCCCGCCACCGCCTTTTTTAGATCACAAAATGTTATCTGTCGTTCATTTCTTTGAACGTCTTACCTTGCTTCAATACATACGAAGCACACCAACTGTTGAACACGTGAGTTAGGGTTCCCGGACACGCGGTGCCGAAGACGGCGCCGGACCCCTTTGCCGCGTAGTTGATTTCGTCCAGGGTCGAATGGGCGGGTCTGGGTGCCGGTAGCTGGTAACTACTTGCGCTAAAAACCTGGCGCATTTGCTGAGGGGAAAGCCGAGCCGCAATTCAAACACGTGCTATGATTTTCAGCGGACGGACGTCACCATGTCAGCCAAGGTGCTCAGTAAAAAAAACCAAGCGCAGTTGTAGCTGGGTCCTCGGGTCCTCACTATAACCATTGAGCAGACACCAGGCCATCGGCACAGTCACCTGACAAAGACAGGTCGCGGTGACACTCGGTCTACCGAGCGGACGCGGCCCGCGCAGAACCTGCGCCTGCTTAGAGCACCGCAAGCTGGTTACCTTTCTTGCATTACGTGCCAACACCCCGAACCCAACCGAAACAGGGCGTTGAGAGAGTGCCACAGTTGTAGGCCATGGCAAAGTCATCTGCAACGTATGCCGGGAGCCGTAGCTATCACAGGACATGATACTGAGAGTACATGGATCGCTCTAAGCATAACATAAGCAAATGGTGGCTAAATTTCATGGCCCAAATGTTAGCCCATGCTACAAACAACACTGCCTTACTCCAGTCATGCTGTCCACCACGTATGGGCTAGCTATCTATCAGGAAACAGCGGTGTGAAAAAAGCAACCCATTCACCCCCATGCTTTGCCTCTTCCCTTTGCGGTACGGACAAACAATTTAGGTCGCCGCCGATACTTTACTCTTCGTGTGTTCTGATCGGCTTTTATGTAATCAATCTGTTTCTGTCCCAGTAAAGAATGATAACCTGTTATGCAATTTTTTACCTTAAGTCAGGGTTGCGTGGTCTTGTCAACCGATCTTTAAAAAATTAGCAAATTCTGAAGAACACGTGATCAAACCTAAAAAGATCCAATCGGAAACTGTCATAATTGTCAAGTGCTCTCTACCAAAAAGCCAAGTTAAAACAGCGAATAATTAACATTTTTACCTTCTTGTGAACAGTCTGCATGAATTACACAGTCAACAGGGATTTCGAGATTCCATGCGCGCATATCTCCGCTAATTGAGGATTTTGCCCAGTCTTAATCCACAACCCAGTCCTTGTTATGATGTCTGCTAGCAAAACTGACGTAATGATAAAGGCATTGCTTTATTTTCAGGTGACCAGTGGTATCCGGGCAAAAGGTGCACCATATGCCTTCGGTCGTTCTCCTGTCTCTCTACATACACGCACCACAAGGCTATGCACCGCGGCGAAACCATCTGTCCATTTTGTAAGAAGATATTCAGTCAGAAGGGATGCCTCAACA